CGCGGAGCGGCTGGGCCCGTGAGCCATGGCCGCTGAGCCTGCACGTCTGGAGCCTGTGCTCCGCAACGGGAGAGGCCACAACAGTGAGAGGCCCGCGTACTGCAAAAAAAAGAAAAAAAAAAGGGCTTTTCTTCGTAAGTGCATTACCTCATTTGATTTTTACTACACTCCACGGACTTAAACAAGGAATATGGACTTATGCCCAGTTAACAGACGTGGAAACAGGCTTGAAGAAGTGAAGACTCTTCTCCAGGGCCACATAACTGGTAAGTGGTAAGTTCAAATCAGACCCATCTGACCTGGATGCTGGCTCTATGACTACCTCCCAGAGCAGCCGACGTCTCCCCATCTAACTTGCATTCTGGGGAGGACCCCACAACCCCTGCAGTTCATGAGATTAACATGAATGGATGTTTCCAGAATCTGGGACAGATGGTTTGGGAGGATCTACGACCAATCAGGACAGAAGGAAAACCTCCCTAGCCCTTGTGTTCCCTGCCACGTGTCACGCTTCTGCTGTGATTCAACCTATGAAAAACCCCTTCTCCCACCGCGGAAAGAAGCAGGACTAATGGAGGGGACTCATCCCGGGGAGCACATTTCCCTGCTTCAGTCCCACCCTGCACCTGGCTCAGGAGCATCCAGAAGACCCTACCGTCTCACCCTCAGGAATTTCCTAGAATTCTGCCTCTTCGAAAACTTCACAGGGAGGTGAAGGGGATTGTGGGAGGTGGCAGAATGGATTGGAGGACTTGGATTCATAGTCCAGGTCCACTCCAACCAGCCGTGTGGTCCAGGCAAGTGGCTCTACCTTCTCATGCCTCAGTCTTATCATCTGTAAAATGGGAATAATGACCCCCTCCCTGCCAGGTTTCTCCGGAGAGTTCAATGAGACATGGTTATGGAAACACTTAGCACACTGCCTGCACACAGTAAATTCTTAGGGATGATCAGGAAATTCTTGTGAATCTACCTGGGTAAGGGACCCCATCTTGTAGGCACAGTTGAGGTGTGAGGTGCTACACTGATGGAGAAATCATGATGTGGGTTCCCTCTCTACCTTCTCCAATCAGTAAGCTTCGTCTCACCCCAGCCACACCAAACTCCTTCTGCTACTTTGCAAACCCCAAAGTTTGCCACAAGCCTGTGCCTTAGGATATGCTCCCATCATACTTAGGATAAATTCCAGAGTCCCCACCATGGCCCACCAATCCAGCCTCATGTTATAACGTTTCCTACCCCTCCTCACCACACACTCCTCCCCGTTGTCCTTCTTGCTGGTCATTGAACACACCAAGTCTTATCCTACCTCGGAATCTTTGTATAGATAGTCCTGTCCATCTGGGGTGTTCTTCCCCGTATCTTTGCATGGCTCCCTTCCTCCCTTCCTCCTGGACCTCAGTCAAACCTGGCCACCCTGTAGAGGCCTTCCTGGACTGTCCTAAAGCAGCCCCACTTTGTGCCTGGTCAGGACCAGATTCCCCAGCTCTATTTTTGTCACAGTACTTACCGCTATCTGAAAGTATCTCGTTTTTACTCAATTTCTTGTTTATAGTCTGTCTCTACTACTAGACCGTCAGCTCCAAGAAGGCAGGGACAGTGCCTGTCCTGTCACCTCATTCTATCAGCACCTGGGACAGCACCAGGAACAAAGATGGCGCTCAGTACCTACTGGTTGAATGAAGGAGTGATTGGATGGACAAATGAATGAATGACCAGCCCTCTGCCTGGAGTGTCTCCACAGGCTTAGCTCTACTCTTCCTCCAGATCTCAGCTTAGCTCACCTCCAGGAAATTGTCCCTGACCCCACCTCCAGGCTTGATCGAAGGTTCCTCTTCTCTACTCCCTGTCATGGCCATTATGTGAATGGTAATTGCCTGTGTTTATCGAGGTCCTTTGGTAGAATATGATTCCCTAGTGGCACGGTTGATTTATCCACCGACAATAACAACATCCCCCCATTTGTTATGAGAATGAAATCCCGCTGCCACGAGTAATTACTACCATTTCTTGAGCACCTGCTTCATGCCAGTCACTGTCCCACTTGCTTTTCATATGTTATTTGCGTGGAATGATATATGTAAAATGCTTATGACACCTCCTGGTTTATAATAATAGGTCACTTAATAGTTTCTGCTGTTGGTAGTAGAAGTAATAGCTAAACATCTATCGAATGGTTATTATTGGCTAGACCATGTTATAAGTGCTTCATTGCCTTATGTAATTATCACAACAACTCAAAAAGTTACAGACTATTATCCTATTTTACAAATGGAAACATTTTAAACTCAGGGAGAGGTCACTTACCCCAGGTTACACAGGTAGTGAGTGGAAGAACTGAGGTTTGAAACAAGGTCCATTTAACTCCAAAGCTTGTGAGCCTTCTTCTCTACCACGCTATCCCCGCTGCCTCTGGAAATCTTATGTATTTTATAAAATATAAAGAGAGAAGGAAGAGAAAATAAGAAAGAAGCCTGGACCCCAGAGCTCTCATCAGGCAGCTTTAGAATCAGGTGGTCTTAGTAAGAAAACACAAATTCAGACTGTCCTTGATTAACTTATTCCGAGTTCAGCAAGGAAATACAACATATTAGATTAACGCTAATAAAAACGAGATGCTTCTTTGACCTGATGGTACACCCATTTGGCTTTTCTCTGAAGCTGGCAAGGGCTCTGCTTGATGCAGTGATGCAAGACTTAAGCTGTAAAGGATTCGGAGCCCATCACGGCGCAGTTGGTGAGGGTGGAGCTGCTCCCAGGCTGGGCTGGGGCTGGGCAGGAAGTCTGACTTCCTGGGTGGAGCTGGCACCTACAATGCGCCAGTCACCTTGCTAGGCTTGCGAAATCCTGTGCTCTGAGCAGCCAAATGAGGGTTCAAATCCCAGTTCTGCAGCTTGCTGGCTGTGCACCTTTGGGCAGGTCACTTCACCTCTCTGAGCCTCAGTTTCCTTTGGGAGATAAAAAGTAATTAACATCAGATGACTGATGTGATGATTATATAAAATAAATCAATAGCATGCTCTCTGAATGCCAGGCACTGTTCTAAACCCTTTGCATCTATTCATGTAATCTTCGTAGCAACTCAATTAAGTAGACACTGTTATTAACTCCCGCATACAGGGAAGAAACTAAGGCACAGAGAGGCTAGGTAACCTGCCCAAGGTTATCCAGCTGGAGGAGGGGGTAAACCAGGATTTGAACCCAGGTGGTTTGAATCTTACACCTGAACCTTAAGCACTACATCGTCTCGCTTCTCAACACACAAGTACTCAGCACACAGTAAGCAGTTAGTATGTGCCGGCTATTATTATTAATATTGTAATTCTGTAGGAGAAAGCAGAGATGATTTGACTTACGTTAGGTGACCCAGTTGTTGGGACCAGAGCCAGGAGCCAAATCCAGTTTGATTTCAAAGTCTGTGCTGTTTCTGTTCCCCGCAGATTACAGAGCGGGTGGGCTGGGTGTAAAGAAGGACACGGGGATATTTAGTCAGCATTTTTGGATGGGACAGCAGGGCACCCACTCCCCATCTCCTCCAGCCGAAGATGTGATCTCTGCAGATTATGGAGGGTCTGCTCTGTGTCGGAGACTGTGTGCTCATACACAGCCTCACATCAGGTAGGAAGTATTAAACTCTTTTCATACATTAAGAAACAGAGGCTCAGAGAGAATAAATGACTTGCCCCCCCATGTCACACAGCTGCTAAGAGGCAGAGCAGACTCCAACCCGATTCTGTCTGAATCCAAAGCTCTTATTCTTAACCGCTGAGCTATAGACTCCCCAACTGCAATCATTCATTCATTCATTCATTCATTCCATATTTACTGCACGTCTGTATGCCCCGCCCTGTGCTGGGAGGTGGAGACACAAGAATGATTCAAGCAGTGGTTTTTTTTTTCCTCTGAGGAATATTCACACCCTCCTGGGGGAAGACAGGCAAGTAAAAGGTAAATTATGTTTTCAAAAATAACTTTTTTCTTGATTATCAAAGTAGAAAAATTAGAATACATAGCAAAAAAGAGGTGAAAATAAAAATAGCCCAGAGTCCCACCATCCAGCAACAGTCCCAGTCAACACTGTTGGTGTATCACCTTTACCTTCCTGTCTTTTTCCTCTATGTGTGTATTTCTAAAGAATAGAATGTTGTATATATAGCATCATATCCTGCTTTCCCCTACGATAGCACTTTTTCACTTTGTTAAAAATTCTTCCCCAATGGGCCTAAATTATTTCTAATTTGAAAAAATAATGGACAATACTTGGAAAATTGTTTCAGAAAAGTGTTAAGGTGGGGTAAGCCAGGGGACTCTGGGATCCC